GCCAAGGTAGACTTCCTGATTTCTTTCCCTTCTTTGTGTTTGGTAGAGTTAAGTGGAACACATATCTTATACCTTCCATTTTTAAGACAATGTATTCTCATTTACTGCCATTCTTAATCCCTATCAAAGAGTCCATGTAATGCTACCAAATTATTGTTTATTTGTGCAGTGTTTTAGCTAGCAAAATGTGTCTTATCATATGGAATTTGCTCAATGACGTGATTACCTTGATTACAAACCTCTTGTTTTATTGTTTTCAGTGATCTCCCTCTGGCACAAGGATCAATCCATACAAACGTCCTTTGCCAGTTGGCAGTTTATCCAATATAATTTTTAAGAGTGGCTTGTTGTGTTTGGGGAGGTAGTGGAGACATCTAAGAATTTATAGTACAATCTATTTGGAAGAAAGTATCATCTGATATGTATGTACAACATTAATTGGGCTGTGCAGTTTAGTTTTCTGTTAATAACAGCTTCAGGATATTTCAATAGCTTCCCAGGTAATGTTTGCATACACAGTATTGAGAAATGTAGTAAAAATGTGATTAAATTGTCATATGAAAGGACCATCTGTAATTGCTGAAGTTTGGTTCTCTGATTAGCTTTTTCTTCCTCTCACCAACAAGACAATGCAAAAACCTGGTTTGTAATTGATGTGCTTTAGCATATTTAATACAGATAGCTCTCGACTTGCAATTATTCATTTAACAACTGTTCAAATTTACGATGGCACTGCACTGACAAAAAGTGACTTATGACCAGTCCTTGCACTTTAGACCATCACATTTCAGTGTTGCGTGGTCATGTAACAAAAATTCGGAGGCTGGGCAATTCAGAGGCTTTGGCGGGTATTTATGACCGTTGTAGTGTCCTAGGGTGACATAATCGGCATTTGCAACCTTCTTAGCATGCTTCTGACAAGTAGTCAGTGGAGGAAGCTGAATTTGTTTAAGGACTGTGGGATCAACCACAACAAAAACGGTCATACAATTGGGCACAGCTTATTTAATGTATATATTGATGGACGTTCCTGTTCCATTATGGTACAGTAGTAAACTAAGACTTTTCTATACCTGTAAGGGAATGGCTGCACTTTGGATTACGTTATAAGATTAGCATTTATTTACTAGTTATGTTATAGTGGATGTATCGGCCCAAGGCTAGGCTGGTTCATTGGAATGGAAATTGCCACAGAATACCAATACAGCAGGGTAATTTGGGATGTCAAACCATTTCCATACTGCTTCCTGAATAAATGTATTATATGAAACAGAGTTTTGTTTTAGGAGTCATAACTTTATAGAGGTGGTCCTCGACTTACAACAGTTCATTTAGTGACCGTTCAAACTTACAGCAACACTGAAAAAAGCAACTTATGACTGTTTTTCAAACTTATGACCGCTGCAACATCCTCATGGTCACATGATCAAAATTTGGATGCTTCGCACCCGATTCATATGACAGTTGCAGTGTCCTGGGATCATGTGATCATCTTTTGTGGCCTTTTAAGCAAAGTCAGTGGGGGAACCAAATTGATTTAACAACTGTGTTACTAACTTAAACAACTGCAGTGATTCGATGTGGCAAGAAAGGTTGTAACATGGGGCAAGTTCACTTAACAAATGATTCACTTAGTCACAGAAATGTTGGTGTCTATTGTGGTCGTAGGTCGAGGACTATCCATATATATAACATCCTAACAGTAATGCAGTGTGGTAGTGTAGTGAAAAGGCCATCTATTCATTCATTGGTTGCTGATCTTTAGCTTTATAAAGCCTGAAGGGCACTTACTGCATCAAATCTAAGCCCATGAATTTACACCCATCTTATGAAGGTGTAGCTATATGTCTCCAGACTGCAGCAAGTGGAAGCTGCTGTTTCTACTTCATACACCATGCCTTATCTGGAGGTGTGAGGAGAATTGACACAAGGTGTTTTCCCTAACACCATTGCTCACTGTTCTTGCCATTCAATTAACCTGCATAAGAAGTGAACATATTCTTGGTTAAAAGCCATGCTGTGAATCCTTTGGACACTAATGCTGTTGAATGACAAAATGTGGCATTGCATGCGGAGCCTAGCACCCTGGGGATGTTTCCATAGAATTGTGGTCCAGAAATATATATTTGTATAACCTGAATGGGGAATCTGACCTAGATGCTGTAGAACTGCAGTTCCTGGCAGGCACCATCATTGCATAATTTTGAAAAGGGCGCTGGGGCAATGATGCTCATGCCTTTGAAGGACATTTGAAGGACACCAGATGAAAGAAGGCTGCCTTCAATTATAATTCCCCTTTAGAGATTGGTAAACATGATGCAGTAATTATGGTGCTGGACAAGAAGGGCTCAATTCTACACCTAGACGCAAAAACTCACTAGGTGATGTTGATCTAGTTGATACTTCTCATTCAGACCTATCGCACAAGGTCATGTCTGAAAAATATAGAGCAACATAAAGTATACATTGGATTAAGAATAAAACCAACTACTATTGTCCTTATGAAATGACTCCACCTGGAATTAGCACTGAAGATGTTGACTGCTTTGAAAATGGGATAGTGGTTAAAATTTCGAAAAGGTGGCTGGAATATTAGTTCTTCACTTTTAATATTTGTTTGCAGTCTGTTGGCAATTTTTTTCTTCAATAAATATGATCAACATCTATATTTTTTGTGTTATTTACTGCTTTTAACTTTTAAGGTGTATAAGTCTGTATCTTCATCTTAGAGATGTACCTATGCAGGCTCAGCAGAGAAGACCAGGGAAGAACTTTTAGACTTTGGATGTAAATGGTTTTATGCCTCTTTCTTTTCAGATAGTACTGTTTATTCACAGTCACAAAAAATGATAACCCGTCCCTGGGGCGTGTGGCTTAGATTTCTGTCTCAATGTCCTACCTTAATGTCAGAAGTGTTAGAAAAATTACTGAGGGGTTAAGTTAAACTGCTGAAAGCTATTAAAATGGCTGGCAAATTTTGGGTTTTTCATCCTTTATAATGCTTACATAAAAGTTATGGATGGTAAAGAAAGATCAGCTCAGTACTCTACCATTACAGTTAATTCTGCTTTCTGATCTAAGGGCCTCCACTTCTCTTTATGTTGCCAAATTCTGTTATGCTGCCAGTAAGACGTTCAAATTGCCTAATCCCATCCCTCAATATTACTGTACAGTTACTATACCTAATGTAAACAATATTGAATAAGGATGGGTAGATATCGGTTTATTTATTTTCTGTAGTTTTCTGAATTTTTTTAGTTCTATGCGTAGCTTTCAGTGATATGAATAGAATAATATTCTGTGTTATTCTGCTAGCTTGTGTTTTGTTTGGTACATTCCTTTTTACTTTTAAACAGTTTGTTAATTGTTTTGTTCTATACTCGTCTTTGACTGAAATAAACTTTGATTTACTGGCAAAGGTTTATCTTGGAGGACCATCTTCAACACTTTGCTTATACCTACAAGGGGATCCTCTCAATATTTCCACATATTAGACATGTTATAAATATGATTAACTTCTACATTTTTCTGTTATTTACTACTTTTAACTTTAAGATATATAAATGCCAAAGATGCACATCAGCTACAACCATCTGCCTGCAGTAATAAGCTGATTACAAGTGTGTGTCAAGCTGTCATCTAGCAATTAATTCTTCTGTCATCTAGACTTCATTCTCCATTATCCCCAACCAACATGGGCAAAATAAGCATTGTAGTCAAGAGCCCCAAGCTACATTCTCCTGTTCTAAGCAACCCATAATTCAGATTAGCCCTTTGTTATCTGCTTAAGGCAACACAACCAATGTTTTTGGATCCTGGGTTGGGAGAAACAATTCCTATTTTTAGAAATGTTGCTCTTACAGCCAATTATGTTCTATACAACTGTCTCATGCTTATCCATGTGGTGGGTGACTGCATCAGTCACAAAACATTTTTTTCTAAAATGGGTTGTAAGCATTTTGGGGAAAAGCAACCCATTGTGCAAAGCTCTTACCCAACAGTTTTATGGTATGTGAAAGGTCAGCTGAGCAGGCTTCTGAATACAATCACTTCTTAAACGGACAGGCCTATTCTTAGAATCTTTACTCTTCCAGCCAAACTGCGGAGAGTTCCCCATGCTATGAACTATAGAATTATCGCCATGATGCTCGGTCTTGGCAATTTTCTCAGGAGTGGTCCTGGGCTTTCTCTGGAACTCTTATGGCAATCCATGTCGGTGAAATTCCTATTTCTGCTGCCTTCCACCCGTGTTAAAACCACTCATTACAGACTCTTCCCTGACACTAAAAAAAAAAAAAAAATCACCACAAAGGAAAGGTGAATTTCTATGGAGATTCTCAAATCATCCATGTCATGGTTGTCCCTAAGGTGCTTTTTCAAAAGGCAACTGAACTTCCTTGTTTTTTTTTTTTTTAACTTTTCGCTTCTCATCCAAGATGTTTTTCCAGAACTGAAAAAAGCTGCTTCTCATCCAAGATGTTTTTCCAGAACTGAAAAAGCTGCTTCTCATCCAAGATGTTTTTCCAGAACTGAAAAAAGCTGCTTCTCATCCAAGATGTTTTTCCAGAACTGAAAAAGCTGTTTGGCATCCAAGATGTTTTTCCAGAACTGAAAAAAGCTGCTTCTCATCCAAGATGTTTTTCCAGAACTGAAAAAAGCTGCTTCTCATCCAAGATGTTTTTCCAGAACTGAAAAAGCTGTTTGG